GGGGATTTGTGTCTTGAGGGATGAATGGGAAGAGAGGCTCAGCTACTGAGTCAGCATCTGTTCTTGGTGCTTTGTGTATGTATGGCAGTTGCAAGACACCAGGCAGGCAGTGCAGGGTTACCAGTAAGGAGCTTCCTAAATGTGCCTTCAGTGTCCCCAGGACACCCTTTTGAGACCTTCCTGTCTCTTGATTTGGACTATATCCCTCCCCAGCCCGGAGCTCTAGGTTTAGACCTGGCTTTGCAGATTCCAGCTGTGGGACTTTAGGCTGGTTATTTGTACTTTTCAGTAAAACAGGACCAATATAGTCCCTACCCCAAAGGACTGTTGGAGAGATTCAGCAAGGTGATGTTTGCTCAGCACCTCACCTGGCACACAGGAAGGACGTAGGAAACATCAGCTGTTACCATTGTTATTACTTGTCCTCCAAGGCGTGCTGTTATCCCTTCTTCCAAGAAGCCTTTCCTGAGCCCCTGAGCAAGTGCTGGCTCCCTCTGGGTTCCCACAACTGCCTGTCCACATGGCATTTTTCAGGCTGCTCACATGTGCAGCTGACTCTATCCTGTTGGCTGCATAGGGCCAGGCCCATCATGGACACCCAGGGTGAGTGAGTAAGTGCAGTGACCAGCCCACAGATGAGCTTCCAGTGAGGGCAGCCAGTGGGACTGAGGGCAGGCAGCCAGCCTAGGTGTGCTGGGCAGCACAGGGGTTCCTCCATCCTTCATCCCGTGTGCCCATCGTAGCCACCGTGTAAGGCTGGAACTGGCATCCCCATTTTACTTGTTGAAGCCAAGCTTCAGAGGAGCTTCAGTATTTTTGAGGCCTGAAGAGTTGACGGGCGGTACAGCCGATTTCCTGACTCCAGAACTCCAGACACTCCCTGCTGGTGGTCATGTCAGTGCTTTTTTTTTTTTTCCTTTTGAGACAGGGTCTCACTCTGTCACCCAGTCTGGAGTACAGTGGTGTGATCTTGGCTCGCTGCAACCTCTGCCTCTCACGCTCAGGCAGTGATCCTCCTGCCTCAGTCTCCTGAGTAGCTGGGACTGCAGGCTACAGGCGCCCGCCACCATGCCCAGCTAATTTTTGTATTTTTAGTAGAGACAGGGTTTTGCTATGTTGCCCAGGCTGGTCTTGAACTCCTGGGCCCAAGTGATCTGCCTGCCTTGTCCTCCCCAAGTGCTGGGATTACAGGCATGAGCAACAGCACCCTGCCAGTTCTAGTGCTTTAAGCGAGGCAGAAGACAGAATTAAAACTGCTGCTAATGCCCAGTTCCCACTGGCTCTGAGCTTTTATGAACACTACCCAAAGTTAAACTTGGAGTTCCCTGCATTGTTGGGCAGCCAGAGCCCTACCAGTGCCGAGACTCAGAATTGCTGACTGAGGTGAGGTCATCTCCATGGCCCCAGACTCTAGGGAGAGAATGGGTGTCCACTGAACCTGCATTCTGGTCTTGCCAGAAACCAGTTTGGTCCCTGTCTAGGCAGAACAATGGCCTTGGCCCATGATACAGTTTCTGAGATGCAGCAGAAAACTGATGAGCTTCCCAGCACAGAGGTAGGAAAGGTGGCTTGTGGTCCTGGAAGAAGGGTCAGGTGGCATTTACACAGTGGGAGAGGGCTTATTGGAGACAGGCATCCCAGGCAGGGCATTTGGGAGCAGAATGTGGAGGTCAGGCCATGCTGGGCTATGCAGAGAAGGAAGTATGGGGCGTGTCAGTGACCCCAAATGCCTAGGAAGGCAGCTCTGATTGAGGAAGCCAAGCTGATGGCATCTCTCTGGCACTTGGCAGCGATGGCCTTCATCACTTACGTGCTCCTGGCTGGGATGGCACTGGGCATTCAGAAAAGGTCAGTGCCAAACCCCTCCCTTACCCTCCCCTTCCTGTGAGCTCTTCTCCCAACCTCCCTAGGGCATATGTGGTGGTCCCCAGCTCACCCTCTGTTGCCCCAGTCTCTCATCCTCACTCCTGCCTCAGGATGCCTGGCTCTGAGCCACCCCTGCTTTGGCACAGGTTCTCCCCGGAGGTGCTGGGCCTGTGTGCAAGCACGGCGCTGGTGTGGGTGGTGATGGAGGTGCTAGCCCTGCTCCTGGGCCTCTACCTGGCCACCGTGCGCAGCGACCTGAGCACCTTCCACCTGCTGGCCTACAGTGGCTACAAATACGTGGGGTGAGCACCTGTGGGCCAGAGGGGTGGCCTTGGGTCTGGGCCTGCATAGCTGTAGCCTTGAACTGTGACCCTGGACATGTCTTGGCCCCCAGTGACCTCGAGCACTGCTCTGTTAAGAGGGAGGAGCTGTCTCCAGCAGTCTCCTGAGGACCTGGGTGCCATGCAGAGGTTGGGGAGGTGTTGAGAGTCACTCTGCCAGAGTCTTGGGGAGAGAAGGGGATCTCAGATCCAGGTCCTGGGGCTGAGTCCTGAGCCTTCCATATCCCTTTGGGGTCTGGGTCCCTGTGGGGACAGATTGAGAGTAAAAGGCGCTGTGGGACGTGGGGTCTAGCTGGGCTCTGGGCATTGGGGGTAGGGCCAATCTCAGGCCTAGACTCCTGGGGGTCACCAACCCTTTCCTCCTCCCACCCCCAGAATGATCCTCAGTGTGCTTACGGGGCTGCTGTTTGGCAGCGATGGCTACTACGTGGCGCTGGCCTGGACCTCATCGGCGCTCATGTACTTCATTGTGAGTCTGGCGTGCCCCCCACTCCCCTGCCTTCGCTTGAGGGCAGGCCTCCCCCTCCTGGCCAGCCTTCAGCTCCCCTTCCTTCCAGGTGCGCTCTTTCCGGACAGCAGCCCTGGGCCCCGACAGCATGGGGGGCCCCGTCCCCCGGCAGCGTCTCCAGCTCTACCTGACTCTGGGAGCTGCAGCCTTCCAGCCCCTCATCATATACTGGCTGACTTTCCACCTGGTCCGGTGACCCCCTGGCCCCAGATGGCACTGAGTTTTTCATTCATTGAAGATTTGATTTCCTTGACTTTGTGTGACCTTTGTTCCTGGGGCCTGACGGGGAGCTACGGATACCTCTGGGCCTCTCCATTGCCCAGGGGACTGGGCTTGGAGCTGTCTAGGAAGAAGGTGGGCCCAGGGAGGGCTTCATGACTTTGGTGGCCTTGATACTGCCTTGTAAGGGTTTCAGCAGCCTCAGCTGGGAAAGAGAAGATGGAAGGAGGCTGCTGAGGGGAACTGGAAGGCCTCTGATCCCTCTGGGGGGCTCCAGCAGGGTCTGTGGGCTAGTGGGGTAAGACAAGCCAGGCTGGGGATTCAGCTTAGGGCTGCCCCCTATACAGTCCCTGTAATTGGCCCCCATCTCCTCTTCAAGCTTTCCAGGAGCAGAACCGGGGCCCACATATTTGCAGTAGTTTATTCATATTTTGTCACAAATGGCCGGGGAGGGGGTGCCGGACTCCTCCAGGCGACATAGAAAATAGGTCCAAGAGACAAGGTGGGCTGAGGTTGGGGCAGATGGAGACAGGGCTGGAGAAAGAGCCTGGGGGAGAGGGGAGGGCAGACTAGGGGTGGGGCTGCCCCCCTGCTGAGCCTGCTCATTCCCGGTGCGGGTACCCCCCCACCTGCAGGGGGAGCCTCAGGGTGGGGGTGGAGGGGGGTGGCCCAGAATTTCCAGGGTCAAGCTCTGCCCCTTGGCAGGGCCCAGGTTTCCCCCGAAATGGACAAGGCCGGAGGTCCTGCCCTTTCCAGGACTGACTGCCATGCCCACAGGCTGGCAGAAGAGCCCCTGCCCCTGTTTAGAGCTCTGCCCAGCCGCTCTAGTCCAAGGGGGAGGGCTCTGAAGGTGGGGGGGTCCCCGCAGCAGCAGTTTGGGGGTTGGAGAGGCTGGGGGCACCAGTGCCCCCTCCCTCCCCAGGGCTGAGGCCTCTGCGGCCAAGGGGCAGGGCTGGGGGTGCACAGGCGTCCGGTCCGTTCTGGGCTCACTCCCTGGCCGGCTTCCCCCTTAGAAACTCACCAACGTATAAACCATACTGTGGGAAGATGAGCCAGTGAGCCTAGCCCTGCACACACACAGCCACCCAGCTACCCACCTGGCCACACCCTGGGCTGCCCTCAGTCCTCAAGGGCAAAGGGCATTGGAAGTGTGATGCTGGGGCATCCCTTCCCTGAGTTCTGACTGCTGTGGGCAAGGCCTCACCTGTACAGGTAATAGAAGAAGGAGAGCAGGTAGAAGGCAAGTTTGCACCAGGACTCCTTCTGGCAGTAGTTGAGAATGTCAGCATTCATGATGGAGACCGCATCATACATGACCTCAGAGCCATCTGCAGGACGGTGGAAGTACCTGGGGCAGACAGGGGCTTGAGTGTCTGCCATCAAGGCTCCCACCCCCATCCTGTCCCTGTTCCCCATCTCAGCCTCCCCAAGGCAGCTGCTCCCCTCACCTCCAGAGGTGGTAGAAGAGGAGGGGGATGTTGAGGCCCAGGGTCACCCACTCTGCTGCACACAGAAACATCAGACAGAAGAGGCCGTGGATGGAGTATTCTGGGACCACCAGCTGGGGGAGTGAGGGTGAGAGGTCAGCGGCCTGGTGCTATGACAGACCCAGGCTTCAAGGGCACAGAGAGGAGCTGGGGTTTGGAAGGTGCCCACCCACCGTGACCTCTGGAGATTAAAAGGCCTCTGGTTTCCCACTCCCTCCCAAGTAGCAGAGTGGATCAAACAGGCCCAAAGCGGGGGACGGCCTGGTTCTGGGCCACAGACAGTGGGTACAGCGCTGGGCTAGGAGCCTCCTGCCCCCAGCCTTGACACTGACCTTCCTCAGGAGGCAGCAGATGCGTTCGATGTTTTTTAAACGCTCGCGCTGTTGGGGGAAGCAAAAGGCCGCGATGGGGGAGGCGGAGAAGCAGATACTGGAGCAGCTCCCACCGCCCCGCATGTGGCCGCCAGGGGGCGCCAGAGCGGTCTCTGCGGC